CATTTCCTCTATTGTACTTTCTATCTTCATGGCTATTCTGTAACTACCTATGTGCATTTTTTAGTCACCTCACCTCTTCACCCATTCTCCACCACCGGCCTCCCACTTGGCAACCCTCAAAAAGTTCTCCTTATCCATGATTCTGCCTCTGTTCTTCTTGTTTGCTTAGTTGGTTTTTTTAGATTCATTTTTTGATATATGTGTATTTTTCACCATTTTCTTGTTTACAGTTTTGATCTTCTTTTTCTTAAAGAAGTATCTTTAAGTTTTCATATAATACTCATTTGTTGATGATGAATTCCTTTAGTTTTTTTCTTGTCTGGGAAGCTCTTTATCTGCCCTTTGATCCTAAATGATATCTTTGCTGGGTAGAGCAATATTGGATATAGGCCTGTGGTTTTCATGACTTGGGATATTTCTTGCCAATCCCTTCGAGCCTGTAAAGTTTCTTTTGAGAAATCAGCTGACAGTCTTGTGGGAATTCCGTATAGGTAACTAACTGCTTTTCTCTTGTTGTTTTTAGATTCTATCTTTATCTTTAACCTTTAGAATTTTAATTATGATGTGCTTTGGAGTGGGCCTGTTTGCATCCATTGTTTGGAACTCTCTGTTTTCTGGACTTGCATGTCTATTCCCTTTACCAAATTAGGGAAGTTTTCTTTCATTATTTTTTCAAATAGATTTTAAATTTCTTGTCTTTTCTCCTTCTGGCACCCCTATGTTAGGCCTCTTGAAGTTGTCCCAGAGGCTGTGTATATTATCCTCATTTTTGTGGGGGGGGGGTGTTCTTTTTTTCTACTTGTTTTTCTGATTGGTTGTTGTTTTGGTTCTTTATGTTCCAAATCATTGATTTGATTCTCAGCTTCATTGACTCTACTGTTGTTTCTCTGTAAATGTTCTTTATTTCAATTAGTGTATCCTTTGTTTCTGACCGGATCTTTTTTTATGCTGTTGAGGTCCTCACTGAATTCCTTGAAAATCCTTATAACCAGTGTTTTCAACTCTGTGTCTGATAGATTGCTTATTTCCATTTGGTTAAGCCTTTTTCTGGAGTTACTATCTGTTCTTTCATTTTGGCTTTGTTTCTTTGTCTCCTCATTTTGGCAGCATCCCCTGGGTTTGATTCTATGTGTTAGGCAGAGTTACTTTGACTTCGTTCTTGGTAGTGTAGTTTAATGTAGTAGGTGTCCTGTTAAGTCCAGTGATACAGCTGCCCCTTTCACCCAAGTTGGGTACTCTTGGTGCACCCTTTGTGTGGGCTAAGTACACACTCCTCTTGTAGTTGAGCCTTGTTTGCTATTGGCAAACCAATGGGAGGGATTTACCCAGGCTGCAAGGACTGGCTGTGACAACTGACCACCAACTTCTGAGCTCTGTGACAGGAGCTGGGTGCTGGGGCTCCACTGTGGTCTATAGCTGTCCACTGGGTGCACTGGCCCTGGGGTTTCCCACATGGTGTAGGCCAAGATCAGCTCCCACCTGTGTTTTGCCTGGAACACCTGTTTTGAGCCTTAATGCAATCTGAGATGGCTGCTACTTGTTCTGGGCTTGGAAATTCCCAGGTGAAGCCAAGCTGTGAATCTAAGATGGATGCTGCTAGTGCCAAGCCTGGGGCTCACTGAGGCCAGCTGTTGCTAGTTTGATAGGATTTACAAAGTTGTGTAGCATGGTCCAAGACCAGCCATTTATATGGAAAAGCAGCTTAAGGGGGCTTGTAAGTTGGATGGGCAGAGTCTCTGGGGATCTCCAAGGTGGGTCACACAGTGTTAGCCAGTTTGGTGGAGTCTCAGATATGGAACCAACTTGCTAGCTCTGTGTGGATAAGGTTTATAAAAGGAACAATGGCCTCTACTTGTCTTGATGGCACACACCTCAGTTTCTCCCTTCATACCACTTGTGCCTTTCAAGCTGCTACCCCAGTGCTGGAGCTGAGAAGGAATGAGTCCATACAGTTGCACCCATGTGTAGGTTTTTTAAGAGGAACTGCTTGGAGCTCCAGGAGTTTCTTCCACTGACTTAATCCTTGTTGGTTTTTGCAGCCAGAATTTATGAGGACTTATCTTCCTGGAATTGGAGCCCTGGGATGGGATGCCTGGTGTGGGGCTGTGAATCCTTGCTCCCAAGATATCCCTCTTGAATTTTTATCCACCACAAGTGGGTGTGGGATAGCCCATTCTGTGTCTGTGCCCCTCCTACCAGTCTGGGTGGATGTGGTTTCTTTAATTCCATAGTTGTCAGACTTCCATTTAACTTGATTTATGACAGTTCTGAGTGGTGGTTTTTCTATATTTTAGTTGTCATTTTGATGTGGTTGTGTGAAGAGGTGAGCCATGTCTGCCTATGCTGTCATCTTGACCAGAAGTTGTCTAAAATTATATATTTTTATGCTATTACAATTGTCTCAGATTTTCCCCCTTTGCCTGCCTCCACCCAGATACCTCTACTCCTAAGGCCATCCCCACACCATTGTCCATGTCCATGGCTCATGCATATATGTTCTTTGGCTACTCTATTTCCTATATAGTACTTTACATCCCCATGACTATTCTGTAACCACCAAATTGTACTACTTTTTTTAAAAAAAATTATTTATTTTTAGAGATGAGAAGGGAGGGAGAAAGAGAGGGAAAAAAAAACATCAATGTGTGGTTGCCTCTCATGTGCTCCCTACTGGGGACCTGGCCTACAAACCAGGCATGAACCTTGACTGAGAATCGAACCAAAGCAAATCCTTGCTTTGCAGGCCAGCACTTCTACTGAGCCACACCAGCCAAGGCCAATTTGTATTTCTTAATCCCTTCATCTTTTTACCTCATTGCCTTGGCTCCCTCTAATCTTGCAACCTTCAAAACGTTCTCTATATCTATGGTTCTGGTTCTGTTCTGCTTGTTTGTTTATTATGTTTTTTTAGATTCAATTATTGATAGATATGTACTTATTGCTATTTTATTGTTCATAGTTTTGATCCTCTTAAAGAAGACCCTTTAACATTTTATGTAATACTCATTTGGTACTGATGAACCCCTTTCGCTTTTTCTTGTCTGGGAAGCTCTTTATCTGTCCTTTGATTCTAAATGATAGCTTTGCTGGGTATTGTAATCTTGGTTGTAGGTCCTTGCTTTTCATCACTTTGAATAGTTCTTGCTAATCCCTTTAACTTGCAAAGTTTCTTTTGAGGAATAAGCTGATGGTCTTATGGAAACTCCCTTGTGGGTAACCAGCTGCTTTTCTCTTGCTGCTTTTAGGATTCTCTCTTTGTTTTTAACCTTTAGTATCCTAATTAGTATGTGTCTTGGTATGGACATTTTTGGGTTCATCTTGTCTGGGACTCTCTGCACTTCCTGTACTTATATGTATATTTCATTCCCCAAGTTAGGGATGTTTTCTGTCATTATTTTTTCTAATAGATTTTCAATTTCTTGCTCTCTTTCCCTTCTCTTTCCAGCACCCACATGTTGTGTATGTTGATACTCTTGAAGTTGCCACAGAGGCTCCTTACACTGTCTTTATTTTTTGAATTCTTGTTTCTTCTTTCTGTTCTCATGTTTTTTTTTTTTGTTTTTTGTTTTTTGGTTTGGTTCCTTATAATCCAAATTGCTGATTTGATTCTTGGTTTTATCCTCTCTGTTGTTGATTCCTTGTAAATTGTTCTTAATTTCAGTCAGTGTATCCTTCATTTCTGACTGGTTCTTTTTATGTTTTCTATGTCACTTTTTATGCTGTTGAAATTCTCTATGAGTTAATCTACTCTTCCCCTAAGTTTATTGAGTATCCTTATAATCAGTGTTTTGAACTCTGAATCTAGCAGATTGCTTGTCTCCATTTTATTTAGTTCTTTTCTGGAGGTTTGTTCTGTTCTTTCATTTTGGACATGTTTCTTTGTCATCACATTGTGGCAATCTCCCTGTGTTTGTTTCTATGTATTACGTAGAGCTGCTATATCTCCCTGGCTTGGTAGAATGGTCTAACATAATACATGTCCTGTAAGGTCCATTGGCACAGCTTTCCCTATCACTCAAGCTGGGTAACTGAGGTGCAACCACATGTGGGCTATGTACACTCCCCTTGTACTTGAGCATTGATCTCTATAGGCAGGTTGATAGAATGGATTATTCATGCAAATCAGTTATAAGAACTGGCTGTGACCACTGACCACAAACCTCTGACCACCATGGAGTATTAGCTGTGCAGGGGCCTACTTCACAGAGCAGGACTTACTTCATCATGGCTGTGGTGGTCACTGAGTCCACCCCTTAAAGGTGTTGCTTGTGGAGTTGGTTGGATGGTGATGTTCCAACTTGGTCTGTAGCTTTCCACTGGGTGCACAGGCTCTGGGGCCTCTTAGGAGGTGCAGACCAAGGTTAGCTACTGCCTGTGTTCTGACCAGGGTCACCTGGCATAATCTACAAAGTGATCTGCAGATGACTGCTACTTGTGCTGGGCCAGCTGCTGCTAATGCCATGCCTGAGCCACTTAGCAAGAGGAATGAGCCTTGCTCAAGCTAGATGCTGCTTGTGTGAGAGAATTTAGGAAAATCTGAAGCATGAAGCACGACAATCCACTTGTATGGAAAAGTCACTGGAGACAGCTTGGGTGGGCCCAAAAGTTGGGTAGAGTGGAACCACAAAGAATCACCAGGGTGAGGCAAACAGTGTGAGTCAGGCTGGTGGAGTCTCAGATGTGGTGCCTGCCTTTTGGTTCTGTTGTGGGGAGGGCTCAGAAAAGAAACAATGGCCTCTGCCAGAACATCTGTTCTGGGAGAAAGGTTTCCCTAACTCTTGCCCTGATGCTAGACACTTCAGTTCCTCCCCATGTGCCTCTGGGTGCCTTTCTAATCCCCATGGTGGAACTCAGAGGGAGTGAGTCAGAATAAGTCTGTGCAGGGGCCACTTAAGAGGAACTGCCTAGGGTGCAGAAGTTTGTGTCTTTTACAGCCTTTTATAGCCAGAATTCATGGGGACTTACCTTCCTGACACTGGAACCCTAGGCTGGGGCCTGGTATGGGGCTGGGCTCCCTGGCTCGTAAGATATAACTCCTGATTTTTATCTGCCACATGTGGGTGTAGACTAGCCTATTTCACATCTCTGCCTCTCCTATCATTCTCAATATTTTATCTTCTTTAATTCTATAGTTGTAGGACTTCCATTCAGCTTTATTTTTGGTGGTTCTGAATACAGTTGCTCTGTAATTTAGTTGTAACTTTGATGTGGTTGTACAAGGAGGTGAACTGTGTTTACCTATGTGGCCATCTTAACTGGAACTCTAGTTTTATTTTTTCTAATATTTTATTTATTTATTTATTTATTTATTTATTTATTTATTTATTTATTTATTTATTTATTTATGTTAGAAAGGAAGGGAAGAAGAAAGAGAGGGAGAGAAACATCAATGTGACTGAGATACATTGATCAGTTGCCTCTTGCACATGTCCCAACTGGGGAGCGAACCAACAACCCAGGCATGTGTCCTGACTGTGAATCAAACTTATGACCTTTCTCTTTGTATGACAACACTCAACCAACTGAGCCACACTAGTCAGGGCCTGACTGTGTTATTTTAATGACAGGTGTAAGGGTATGTAAAACTAGACTTAAGAAAATAAATACTAAAACAGAGCATCATGCACAATATGCAGAAAAGAATTTAGAATTAAGCATGGTAGAAAAGGTAATGTGGGAGGACATATTAAGATTGAATTTCCCTATTACATGATGAAGTAGGCAACTTTTTCTGTATTAGTCTTTTTTTCCATTTCATGAAAAGACATCACTCTCATTTAAAAATAATGGCAGCATATGAATTAGCTTTGGTATATGAAACAAATGAACTTGCATTACTATATTGTTCTTTTGATTGTTTCATGAAACTGAGTAAAATTATATTCTCCGATCTGGAAGATGCAGCTAAAATGACCTGTTGGTGAACAGAAAGGGAAATTTTAATAACAAATGTGAAGGCCCATCACACAGTAGATCCAACTCTGTCAGATCTTATCAACAATTATGCTTTCTACAGTATATAAAGTAATGCCTCATATCATGGCCAATAAAACTAAAAAATAAATCTCCCTAGCTCTTAGGTAATTTTGTTGTAAAAATAGAGATTTAAGTTGCCTTTCATATTTTTATAATGGTTTTAATGCAACCACAGAAAACATAAAATAAAGGATGTTGTATCTTGTCCAATTTCAAACATTTTGACCATTTATGTACATAATTAGAAGACAGTGTAAACTTAAAATATGACAAACTGCATTCAGCCCATACCAGAGAAAATGAAAATATCTTACTTGTTAAATATGATGTAATAATTTTAAATAACATCACAAGAAGATACATGATTTATTTATCTGGGACTTTGGTACTTTTATAAAAAGAAGTTTTAGTTACTTTTCAGATTCCTCAAAATGAGAGGAAGCTCTTAATGAGATTTTGGACTGTATGGAAATTGAAGGAGATAGCTTCCTTAGGCATGTGCCTTATTAGATGGCTATCATTGTTAACAGCCATAGAAAATGAATTAAGATGTTGGGCAGACATAAAGTCACACTTCCAAAGTGTTAGAGGTATGTCCTTCAGAAATTTGGGAGTGCATTGAAAATAACGGAGGAGAAAAAATTAAATTAACTAAAAAATTCATATGCTATTTCTCTAAAACTGTTTTGATGATCTTCAAAGGCACCTTAAGGAGCCTAGAAAATGATAAGCTGACTTCACTGAAATTATTCAATATTATGTGTAACTTGAAACAATTCACACAGAAAAAAAAGACTTACTTTGTTAAAATAAGACTGCTTCAGAAAACACACACATTGAGAGTGGGCAAGATGGCAGAGGAGTGAGTGGAAGCCATATTACCCTCCTCCCAGGACAAATCTGGAATTATAATTAAATTGTGGAGAAATTACTCAGAACAAACAACTGAACAATAGCGAAAGATAAGCCTTATAACCTTAGACAGACAGAAGAATCATCTTCAGCACAATTTGCCTGGTAAGGAGTGTGGTACAGACTTGAGAGAACTGACTGGGTGCCCACAGGTGGCAGCACCAGAAGGATAATTAAGTGGTAGGTTGGATCCCCCTAAGAAGAATGGGGTCTAAACCCTAAGCTAGGATCCCCAGCCTACAGCACCAGAGCCCAAAAAGTACACAGAAAACAACTGGCTGTGGAAAGCAGCAGAGTTGCTCTCTGCCAGTGACAGGTGGCTGGAGACACAAAGAGCCATTTAAAGGGCCAACACACAAACTTTCATTTGCTGTCACTTACCTGGAGTTCCAGCAAGGGTGGGAGCAGAATGGGTTAGAAATGCCTGAGGAGAGACTAGGGATAGAAGCTTTGGGGAGAGAGCAGAGAATAGCTGTAGGGATCCCAGTGCTGAGTCATCCCCCCAAAAGTGACAGCCCTTGTGCTCATGCAGACTACTCCCCTCTGAGCAGCAGTAGCCTGAGGGAAAACAGTAGCCCCTAACCCCAGGAGGAATTCTTCCCTGGCCTATGGGGCTTAAATATGACTGCTGAGTGCAAAGTGACTAGATAAACAACTAAAGGAGAAAACTGTAGACAGCAAATATCTGGCAGTCTCAGAGCAGGCTGCCTAAGATCAGATGGGCTCAACATCTGCCATAACCAGAGTTGGAACCAGAGAGGAAAAAAAATGGTAAATAAAAGAGGCTACTGAGTCAAAAATCTACTGTGGTTTTCTCCATGATTAGTGATATTATCATTCCTGCATAGCTTTTTAACATTCATTTCTTGTCCACCAAGTTTGTACATATTACCTCACTAGAACTTATGCTATAGTTTATTTCTCTCCTTTCTTATAATAGTCTTAATCTCTTTACATCCTTATTAATACTGCTTCATTTGCTGTTGATACACAGATAGTGGGAGTGGGGGATATTTTTGCAGATGAGGGCTTGTACCCTGGGCTTTGTGGTTTTCTTATGACAGCACATGCACAACAGCATACAAGATGTGGTGGGCAGAGTGACCCTCAGTCAACCAGATGGAGGGAAGGACCCACCAAAGAAAGACCTGTCAACAATCAAAACCCAAACACATCCAGGGAGTCAACATAAACTGCATCCCAAGAGCAGCCAGTTTGGGAGATCAAGGAGACTGTACCACTGAATCTCACAAGTCTCCTACCATAGAAGCTCACACCAAAAACTCAGGGAGTCAGAGCAGATCAATTTAAGAAGCAGAGGCTACCAAGAAGAGTCTCAAAAACAACATGAAGAGAAATAATTAAACCACAAACAAAAGGAAAGGAGGAAGCCTTAAAAAGAATGGTAAATAAAATAGAGGCAAGTCAACTATCAGAATAGAGTTCAGAGCAATGGTATAAGGAAGCTCAATGAGCTCACTGTGAATTACCAAGAATTGCAGGGAAATTACAAGGAATTACTACAAACTATATCATCATGAAAAAGGAAATAGAAACCATCAGCAAGAGCCAAGAGGAAATGAAGAATGCAATTTCTGATTGAAGAACATGGTAGAAAAAATCAAAAGAAGGGTAGATGAAGCAGAGGATCAAATCATCGAGTTGGAGGACAAGGTAGAAAAAACACCCCAGAAGAGCAAGAAAAGGACAAAAAACTCAGAAACAAAGAAGAGGCGTTAAGAAACTGAAAGAAACATGAAACATAACAATATCCATTATAATAGGAATGCCAGAAGGAGAAGAAGAGCAAGGGATGGCAAACCTGCTTGAAAAAGTAATGATGGAAAACGTCCCTAATTTGATGAGAGAAAAAGTCACACAAATCCAGGAAACACAGAGGGTCCCAATCAAGAAGAAGCAAAAGAGGCCCACTCCAGGACATCATGATTAAAATCACAAAATTCCTAGACAAAGAAAGAATCTTAAAGGCCGCAAGGGAGAAACAGGAAGTAACATACAATGGAGCCCCAATAGGGCTAGCAGCTGACTTCTCAATGGAAATGCTACAGGCCAAAATGGAATGGCAAGAAATATTCCAAGTAATGAAAACCAAAGACCTGCAACCAAGACTACTCAATCCAAAAAGGCTCTCAATTAAAATGGAAGGTGAAATAAGGAGTTTCCCAGAAAAAAAGAAGGCTCAAAGAATACACCTCCTCCAAACCAGCACTGCAAGAGATGCTAAAGGGACTGCTTTAAGAAAAGGAAAGAAAAGAGTGAGTGTGAGAGAGAGAGAAGCACAGGTATGAAGGAAGTTAAATAGCAATGAATAAGTACCTATCAATAATAACCTTAAATGTAAAACAATTAATTGCTTCAATCAAAAGATATAGAATAGCTGAATGGATAAGAAATCATGATCCACTCATATTCTGCCTAAGAGACCCACCACAGAACAAAAGGCCTGCACAGACAGAAAGCAAAGGGCTGGAAAAAAATATTCCAAGAAAATGGACAGGAAAAAAAAAAACAGGGAGGCAATACTCATATCAGACAAAATAGACTTCATAACAAGCGCCATAAAAAGAGACCCAGAAGGTCACTTCATAATACTCAAAGGAAGAACACACAAAGAAGACATAAACATTATGAACATATATGCACCAAACATAGGAACACCCAAATATATAAGGAAGATCTTGGAGGACTTCAAGAAAGATATTGACAGCAACACAATTATAGTAGGGGATTTTAACCCCCCAGTGTCAAAAATGCATAGATATTTCAAACAAAATATCAACAAAGATATTGTGGCATTGAACAATGCCCTAGATCAAATGTACTTAGCTGATATATATAGAATCTTTCATTCCAAGGAGGCAAAATACATTGTTTTCAAATGCACATGAAAAATTTTCATTTTTAATATTTAGTATTTTGTGATTAGGTAAATTACTAGAGAAAAACACTAAAAATATTTAATAACTAATTGACAAAGAGGTTCACATATATTTACTGTGCTGTAGAATGTTCATGAAACTGTTTTACAAAAAAATAAACAATTTCAACTTTTGACTCAACAATTTATCTCTGTGTGTGTGTTTCTCTCATACAGTTCCCTTACCCCAAATGATTACACTCTCATGTGCAGATTTTTTGTCACCTCAGTGGCTAGACTTCCTCTCTCAAGGTATAGAGATACAGGAAGGCATTGTGAACAAGGAGTGGAAAATTAGAGAAAATAGTGGATAATTCTAAAAAGTTCTTGCTAATGCATGGGAGCACAAGCTTCTACCTTCTTTCCTCCCCTTAGAGTTAACTTCCAGAGCTACAATTCTATCTCTGACCACTAGAAGGAATTTATCTACATTGAGTACTCTTTTCTTTTTTTTAGAGGTAAGTACATGATTTGTTTTTTCTACTCTCATTACAATGACTCACAAAACTCTGCCATTTCCTTTATATTTTCCAGGTCTTGTTTTCTTTTTTGTATTATCTTCCTGGGATGGCCTGGAGTGAATTCCAGCCATGAACTATTTTGAGAAAGAACACTTTGTTATGATGCCCTAATTTAAGAAAATCCCACATATTGCAGCAAGAATTTAGTAAAACTATGCTTGGAGTGGTCATCCTTATTGCATGGAGCTCAATTCCAGTCTGTCTCTCCAGTTAACATCTGAATGCCTGTAGATAAGCTCAAGTACCACATTAAGCCTCAACAACCTTGGAAAGCTGGTGATTCTGATATCAGAGTCACCTTGTGAAGAACACATGAAAGAACAGATACAATGTAGCAAGTACAGTCCCTGGACCAACAGCTGGCACTCAAAGTTCTCTGGGTTTGCAGAATGAGGGAACACAGTGTAGTGCAGCCAACACAGAGACTGGCATTCAGAGTTCCCTGTGTTTAGATACAAGTATCTAGGCTTCAGGCCTCCTGACTCTAGTTGGTCTTCTCTGCAGGGGTGGTTCAGTTGGAAACAATTCCCTGGGTGTTAGCTGGTAGCAAGCTAAGGGGGTATTAGGAACAGGAAGTAAAGTATCCTCTGTTCCCCAGAGCTTTCTTTCTCTATGCCTTTAAGAAAGGGACTTCCCGTAAAGATTCCATCTTGTTCCTCTGGCCCTGAGGAAATTGTTTGGGACCAGCTCTTATCTTCCTTGGCAGCCCACCTTGATCTTCAAACATCCAGCTCCAGACTCCACAGATTCTCCTCACAAATACCTTGTGAAGACACTGGTGACAGATCACTGCCTTCAGACCACACAACGGATGAGTTAGTTGGCATGAGACCTTCGCCTCAGATCCTCACTGGGCTAGAGTGGTTCTGGGTTCCCTCCCCACCCCAATCAATGGGACACCTAGACTACCTCCATTTTAGAAGAGGGTTGATGATGGCCAGCCAACCTATTTTCTATGCTCTTGAGGAAATGGGCCAAGTGGGCCCTGACATATCCATTCTGTTTCCACACAGAAAACCTCCCCTCCTATGGATGTAGCTGAATTTTTTATTTCCCTTCTTGAGGGGAAATACCTGAGTCATGTGTTCCTCTTAGGACCAGAGTTTGGATAATGGGGAGGGTCACCTAGGTTGGGGGGATTTAGTGTAAATTAACATTTTTTATTCATACTGGAGGTGGGGAAAGACAGAAAACCCACCATTACCCTTGAATCTCACATCAGCTATTCAGAGTAGATTCTGTTACCCCACAGCAATTTATTGAAGCTTGCTTTATGGCCCAGCATATGACTTATTCTGGAATGTTTCCTGTGTGGTTGTTGTGTGCATTGTTTTATGTTACTTTGTTAATTTACTTAAATCACATTTTTAAATCTTCATGTACCTGAAATTTTGTCTTCCATGTTGTATGTAAATCAATGAGCTGTGTTAAAATCTCCCACTGTGACCATGGATTTGTCATTTCTCCATTTACTTCTACTAGTTTTTGTTTTACATGTTTTTCTGTACAGTAAGACATACATACAAATTTAGAATTTTGTATTAACATCTTCTTATTGCATTGAGCCTGGTATAATAAAGAAATTTCATTCTTTCCCTTAGTAATTTTTTAAAAACTACCTTTTCTTTTACTAACACAATACCAGCTCTCAAGAGGTTATTGTGTAAATAATATACATTTTGCCAAATTGTTGACTCAAATTTTCTAGATTATTAAATTATGCATGTATCTCTTTAAAGGACCATATGACAGAACTTTTTAAAAAAACTCATTCTGATAATATTTGTTTTCCTGTTTGGAATATTTAGTCTGAAACTCTTAATGTAAATATAGATGCAAATTGGTTTATATATACCATATTACTGTACATTTCTTTTTGCCTGTCCTAAGTCACTTTCTTCTCCTTTTGTTTGAAATGACTAATACATTTAACTATTAAATTGTTCCCTCATTTGGCTAGATACTTGGACATTCTTTTCCCATTTTTGTAGTATTTACTCTTAAAATTACAATATATGTTCATACACTGCTTTTCCACAGTCAAATGTAAAATAGTCTCTTAAAGATCCTCACAAAATGAAGGGACCTTTGAACAGTTTGATTCCATTCAATGCCTACCAATTTATTGCCATACACTTTAATCCTATATATATTTAACCCCCCAGAATAAATTACTGCCATCATGCTATACAATAAGCATTCATTTAGATTTGCCTAAACAGTCACACATGTCTTTAGACTTCCTTTCCTGCATCTATGTGCTTCCATCTGAGATTATATTTCTTCTTCTTGAAGAAGAATCCTTAATATTTCTTTTAGTTTGAGTCTTCTGGTCACAAATATCCCCAGTTATTGTTATGTTAACATCATTATGAAATGTATGCCTTTTCTTTCTTTTTTTAAAGATTTTATTTATTATTCCCAGCCAGGGTACATGCCTGGGTTGCAGTCCATGACCCCCAGCAACCGCACATTGATGTTTCTCTCTCTCTTCCTCCCTCCCTTCCATCTCTGAAGATAAATAAAATCTTTTTTTTAAGATTTTATTTATTTATTTTTAGAGAATCTTTAAAAAAAGATTTTATTTATTTATCTTCAGAGATGGAAGGGAGGGAGGAAGAGGGAGAGAGAGAGAGAAACATCAATGTGCGGTTGCTGGGGGTCATGGCCTGCAACCCAGGCATGTACCCTAACTGGGAATCAAACCTGCGACACTTTGGTTCGCAGCCTGCGCTCAATCCACTGAGCTACACCAGCCAGGTGCATGCCTTTTCTTTAAGAATTTTTTCCTTAAAGCATAATTTTCTTCTATTAATATTGTTAAACTGACTTGATATCTTGTTGCTTTTGGAACTTCCACAACCAAAATCTCTTCAAATACTACTTCTGCACTGTTCCCTCTCCTTCTTACTGGGGCTCAAATTAAATATGGGTTAGATATATTCACTACATCTCTAATTTTCTTCCCTTCTTTTTTGGTATTCTCCATATTATGTCTCTCCAGACATTATTCTTGATATTTTCACAAGACTTCTCTTTCATGTCTCTAATTGCTCTTTTAGGCAAGAACTCATCTTTGACCCTTGAACCATAACACCAAACTTTCAGGGTAGATTTTATTTTTTCCTTAGAGCAGAGGAGGGAAGTGAGAGTTAGAGATAATAAACAACTTGTCCCAGGTCACCTAGCTTGTAAGGGGCAGAACTGGGGCTAACATTACAAATTAAACTCAACACCTAAACCCTTTATTTTGTGCTTTTCTTCTTGGCTATGAATATTCCTGATCTCTCATCTCCCAGGACGTGGAACCACAGTGAAGTCTTGTGATGTGTTTCATTTTAGATTATAAAAATCAGTAATATTTCCTCATTAGCCATGATATCTCCCCAGGACTTTTTCTGACATTGGGACCATTGGTGTGTTGTTCTTAATTTCAGGGCATAATACCCAATGCAACACCATACATAGAAGATCAGGCTGGGGTATGTACCGAAGGAGATATATCAATTTGTCTGAACACATCAGTTCTGGCATTCATCCTTCATCCCACAAACAACAAGATGGACATTCCACAACAAGTGATGCTCATGTGGACACCCAAGTAAGATAGTAAGTGACCAGTCAGCATGACTGAAATGTACCCACCAGTGGAATAGATAACCTTGTAGTTAAACATGTCATTCTTCTCTCCAACCTAGAAAAATGAGGAATGAAAGAATCAGATTAGTGGTTGAGAAAACTTTATTTTAGCCTTGGTATCAGTGAAATAAATGTGTATAGAAGACTTTCTGAGCATATATGGACTACTTCTTTCTTTCCACTGATCCACAGCATGCCCTATGCACATTATCATTGGAGAGGCTATTTTCAGAAATGGAACCAAAACCACATTAAGATGGAGAGAGAGCAAAATCCTCCAGAGACAAAAATGGAGAGGAGGCAGGATAAGACCTCAGGAACCTGGTTCAAGATCATTGTGAGTGTCCTGGAAAAGTGGACCTAATATGTAGAAGGTGAACAGAGGGAGTTGTGCTGGATTTGTGTAGAGATACAAGGCACCTTTCTGGGGCAAAAGAGTTGCTAATGTGTTTTGTTATTACTAGGAGTTAACAACCCAGGTCATCTAAGGGCATACTAAAAGAAGCAATATAAAGGGAACAGACAGACTGCAAGGAGAATGGGACAGGTAGTCTAAAAGCAAAAGGGGAAACTACTGCCAAGGAGATGGAGCAACTTCACACTGGAAGCCACAGTTTGGCCCAACCTGAATGTTGGAGGACGTTGAATCTCTGGGGTCCTTTTGAGAGGTTCAGTCCAGGTCTGACTTAGGTAGGGTCTCTTGAAACTTTATAAAAGGTAATACATGTTAAACATCTTAAGTTGATTATTTGAGAAAAACTATTTAAATGTAAAGAATGGTATTTAGAAAACCCGTGCCTGGTACAAAAGTTAGTAATAATAGATATTGTCTTAACTTAAACAATTATTTTAAAGGCTGAAAAGAACATCTGAAAGGAAAGCACAGTTGGGTTTTATCTTACTATTAGATTCCATTATATCACTCTTCTATCTTTTCTTTGGCTCCTAGATTCCATTTGGCATAAAATATGATGAGAAGTGGCTGCTGAATTTGATTCAGGAGCAATGCAGCATCCCCTTCACTCCAGTCGAAGTAAGAGAGGACAGTTAGGTGGATAAGAAGAAACAGGGCAGATGAGCAGTGGCTCTGGTCTCATATTCTGCTTCTCTTGTCACTCTCCATAGTTTCACTATGAGAAAATGCAGGCCCAGTTCTTTGTTGAGAATGCTAGTGTTGTCTTTGCACTGCAGAATGTCAACAGCAAGATTCTGGATGAGGATAATGAGATGGTGTGTGTCAAGGGCATGACCAGGGTTAGCTAGGGGCAAGAGGGCAGGACAGGGGTAAGGTCTTGCTTGAAACCAAGGCTCAGATTTCCTGGTGCTTACTCAGCCCCTCTTGTATTTCCTGCAGATATCTATCTTTGTCAACCCCTCTGATGCCCCCCAGTCTGTGCAGAAGGAGCTGAAATCAGAAAAGGAGAAGTTGGTTAAGGTAATGCAGACTCAAGACCAGTTGTGTGTCTACATCCAGACCCACCTCTTCTTCCCCCACCTATTGCACTCCTTCACCACTTCAGATCCAGAGCCACTGAACCCCATGGGGTAATGACAAGGGGAAGTAAATTGGATTTGTTAGAAAATGAAGAGACTGGGGATACAGGTCATCTTGGCTCTCTTTCTCAGGTCCATATGGTTCTTTCCCATAATCACAGGTGAAGTTGGTAGGGGAATTGGACCAGGGCAAAGGGCTGGAGCCAGAAGAGATGAGTGCAAATGGAAAACCCCTATGCACCACCTTCCCAGGTAATTCAACCAACATAAGGTTAGCGGTACTTTCTTTCACCATGTGTGAGCCTGAGCTATGCTTCATAGTGCTTGTTTTCTGGAGACAGCAAATAGTTCTTTTGGGAAGACCACAGGCCTTTCCTCTTTTCTCTGTGTCCCTCACCTGTGCTTAGAGATATCTTTTTCTTCCTGTGATCTTCTCTCCTGTTTGCTTGGCCTGAGGTCTATTTCCCACTTCTCTGCATCCAGCCTTCTCATCCATGCCCTCCCAACAATGTGCTCTAGGAAACAAGGCATCCCCTTTTCAACAGTACCAGGTGTGACCAGCCTTGAGTCATATACTGGTGCTCTGGACAGAGAAGGGTCCTCCAGCCCAGAGCTTTCAGCCCAGAGCCAGCTGAGACAGGCCATCCTACTCCAAGCTGAGATAAGGTATATATCTCATGCCCTGAGATGAAACTGCTTATCCTTGCTCCAAAAGGGTCTCCCCTCCAATCCCAGGCTAAATGGGGATATTCCCACCTAATGCTGAGGGCCAAGATCTTAGGTGACTGCCATATGACCTCTATTCCTCTGGACCCATGCTCATGACTTGGGCTCTCCTTGGTAGAAACTAGGGTTCCCTGAGATGGTGCCAGAAGTGAGCAGTCCCCAGTGAGCGTAGGACTTCTGGAGGAGGCAACAGTGGAAGGCAGAGGGCAGAGGTGGTTGAGGAGACAGAAGGAGAGTCCTCTTAGGGGCACTGCCCCTCCCTCCACCCATCACATCACCTGCCTGGTCCTTCAGAGGAACCCTGGGTACCTACACACAGTTAGGATTCCTCAGACAAGGAACCAACCAGCACAGGTGCATGGGGGCCATGAGGATAGAAGCTGGTGATCATAAGAGGGGATCACAGACCCCCAACTCTATGCTGAGCTTGAGTGTGACCCTTTACTCCTCAGGACAATCTTCTTCCCCATGACACCCACCAACTGCTGCAGTTCTCACGCCCAGCTCATGCAGAACTCCCATATATGACTTGCATCCAATGTGTTCCCTGCCCATTAGGTGCATTATTTCTATTCCTACCTCAGGGCCCAGGGCCAGCCAAGGGCAGATGAAGAAAAGGGCTGCTACAGGAAGGCCATGTCCCTTTTCTTCTCTCTTCTTCTCTTACCCCCACCTCCAGGGCAGAACATCTTTCTCTTCCTTTTGCTTTGCTTTCTCTTTCTCCCTTTGTCTCTATACCCCTATGTCTCCCCAGTCTCCCCTCCTATCTCACTCTCTTTCTGTCTTCTTCCTTCTCCCTTTCCTTTCCTGCCTCCTAATCCCTCCCACAGTGAGGTAGAAGAACCCTGGGCTCCCACCCCATTCCCTCTTGTCTCTGGAGCTTTCAGTGGGGACCAGGAGGAAGAAAAAAAAAGCAGGGAGAGAGAAGAAACCCTGGAATCTGGGATCAGCAAGAAGCCTTTTCTGGCACTGGAATGGAGACAGGGCACCTGGGTGGGAGCTACTCAGCAGGATGGAGAGGGAGGGGGGAGGGAAGATGAGCACTCTTTACATGGGTCAATGCATGGGGAAGATTCCCAGGTCCCTGGAAAGTTGGAATACTGGAATATAGATGGAACACATTGGGCTGTATGTCTGGTGTAGGTGAGCTTGCTCCAATGAGGCAGGGCTGCTCTCCAGATTCACTTATGTTTCTGTGTTGTCTTGATTTTGGCAGCTCCATCTTGGAACTCTTCCCCAAGGTATTATGCCTGGTAAGTGTATCCCTCAATCACTGACTCCTATGAATGGCACTGCCACCTCCAACAACCTGCCCTGAACTTCTTTAGGTCCGACCCAAGTTACATTTTTGGATCTGATTTTTAATCACATTGGTGACCAATGTGAGAACTTGTGTCAAAGGCTCTGGACTTTCTTCACACAAGTTCTCCACAGGCTCCAGGGCTCCCATAATAAAGATACAAATGTAGTGCTGTCCATGGAATTTCCAGGGCTCTTTTGCACCTGACCTCAGACTTTTACCCTCTCATAGGCCCATTCTTTTCCTGATCATTCAGCACCACCTGCTGGTCTGCAAGGCTGACTTCCTTTTCCCTTTTCCAGGATAGCCAGGAGCCACCTCCACCAACTAATTTGGGGATTGAAGCACACAAGAAGTTACCAACCTGCAGGGTGAGGAGGGAGGATGTAGCAGGGTTTTAAGGTGGTGAATGAGGATGTGCTGTCAGCTGTGGTCTTGAGGACTGTTTTGATTTCAGGGAAGCTTCTTTGGATCTGAGGCACCGAAGAATCTAGTGCTGCAATTTCTGCAGCAGTAAGTAGCTCTGGGAATACTAACAATAGGGAGGGCTGGGACTGCTTACTGGGACTCTCACCTCTCATTTGGGTCCCAGTTAACACAGGCAGCCTCTCGCCTTTGCTCCCTCACAGGTATTACATGATCTATGACTCTGGAGACTGACACTATCTTCTTGATGCCTGCAATGATGGGGCCTGCTCCTCTTTGACCATTCCCTTCAACCCAAAAGATCCAAACTTGTGAGTATCACAGCTAAGACTCTGCTCCTGGGCTGTGTGGCTTCCCAGCAGACACAGGCCAGTTCATGGCAGCACCCACGCTGGCCAGATCAACACATCCTGCTCTTTTTCTCCTAGAAGCAGCTTGTTTGAGTACTTCAAAAATAACAGGAATATGAAGAACCTCAAGGACCCCAGTGCGTGTAGGATGGGGAAGATTGGCAGTCAAAGGGGGCATGAAGGGGCCAGTCATAAATCCCTGGGTGTGGCAACCTTGACCTTTGCAATCCTTCCCCCACAGGCCTGCGCTTTCAACTGCTGAAACATACAATACGTGACGTTGTGTGCTCCCTCTGTGTGTTGCCCAAAACTCAGCATGACTTCAGCTCCTTCATCTTGGACATATGCTTCCAGTTGGTGAGAACCTGCTTCTTCCCTTGGGCTGGCCCAGAGAGACACAGGTGGTTGGGAGGTATAGACAGTGACTGAGCACCTGCACTCTTCTCTTTCAGGAAAGTATGCTCTGCTTCTGCATCAACGGGGTGTTCAAGGAAGGTGAGTGTGCATAGAGTCCCCCCTCCAGATGCCCCACTTGTCCCTCCTGCAGCCTGGGACCTCTCTCAGAACTCTCTCAACTTCCCTGACCCCTCCCTTTTTTTCTGATTCCCTCTGTGTTCTCCTGCTTCCACTCTGCCCCGAACCCATCCTGCTCTGACCTGCACCCATGCCTGTCAGCCCCACACAGCTGGGCTCTTAGGGATACAAGTGTGGGTTTTGGTGGCTTTCATCCCTGATCCTTACTCTGAGACCTTGGGCTAGTTACACGGAACTCTTTTTTCCTCTTTTGCAAACTGGGGCTAATAATGCCCACCTCTTGGGTAGCTGCTAAAAATGAATCGAATGAACTTGTGAAGTGGTTGTCCCAGGGCATAGTAGGGTCCATGTCAGTGGGAGAAGATTGCTCCTATCCTTGCCCTCCCCATTCCTGTCACCCTGACTCCCAGTGAACCGCTGTCCCCTTGGGCATGTGTGGAGTCCGACCCTTACTGAGGAATGCAGTGGGAGCTTGTGAAGCATTGTGACTCTTGAGGTGGAATTGTTGTTGTTGTTGTTGTTCTTCTTCTTCTTCTTATTGTTGTTGAAGTGGAAGGACAGTCTCAGGGTTGTGTGTGTGCCTTCTCCCGGACCTTCATTGTTACCCCTGCCAGCAGTTCCAGGTGAGTGTTGTGCTCTGGGTGAGAACAGGCAGCCCAGCCTGGGCTCAGGGGTGTGGGAATATAGCAGTGCAGGTTTTGAGTTTTTTTTCAGTGTTGTGGGGAACCAACATACAGATCCAAGGAACAGTTCAGCATCGGGATTAAGAGTTTGGGCTTTAGAGTTAGAACACTGGATTCTCCTTTTGACCCCAACACTAACTAGATGTATACCTTAGAGAAATCATATGACTTCTCTGTATCTTTCTCTGAAAAAGGGATTAGATTGTCCTCTCCCTTAGAGTGTTTTACAGACTAAATACAGTGGGGTTAATCCTACAAATCTAGTGAGGCTGGTAGAAAAATCTCTTCAAGTGCTGTCTGTGAGAAGAGCAGAGGTACCAGGCAAGGACTCTATCGATCAGATATAGTTAGTCTATGGAAGGAACCTGGTTTCTTTGCGACAGTAGAAGCAGGATCATTGTTGAGGGTGTGGTGGTGTCCATCCATCGGTTGTCTTAGGGTCCATTTTTGCTCCAGTCTGTGCATCATGAACGATGAACTGTTTGTGAGGGATGCGACCCCTGATGATGCTCAGAGTGTGTATTCCATAGAAGTGCCTAACCCCACCTTCAATTTTGTGCCCACCCTCTCCAAGGAGCAGCAGGAAATGGTGCAGGTTTTCTCCACCCAGTCTGGGATGACCCTCCAGTGGTCTCAGAAGTGAGTGATTGGTGTGCATGGGGATAGGAGGGAACTGGGAGAAGCTGAGGAGTGAATAATATGAACTTGCAGGTAATTTGTTTTTCTTGTTTATTTCACCTATCACCCTGAACACTTCTTTTTCATTACATATAAGCTACACAATTATGTTTTGAACATAAAGGAGGTATATACTCCTTTATGAATTTCATGGGCCTTATTCTTTTATTGACACATTTGGGTTTCAGGAATTTTTCCAACATGCACTGTGCCACAGGGCTTACTGCACTGCATATATCACAATAAATGTGGAGGAATGTTAACATCACACAGGTTATAAAACAGCAGTGTGTGGTCAGTCTCCACTTTGGTTCTAATGGTTGTCTCCTGTCCTTCCTCCACCCCAGGTGGCTTCATGGCAACCACAAGGACTATAGCACAGCTGCACAAGTGCTTGCTCTGCCCAAGGTGAAGTCTGGGAATTCAGGCCAAGTGAGCAGAGACTGGGCTACCTGGGGATAAGACTGAGGGCTCCTTGCAGTGCTAATCTCCCAAATTCCCTGCTTTACTTCCTCCAGCCCAAGTACATGATGCCAGAGGAGGCCCTCCCATAGGCTGATCCATGATCCTGAGAGCACAGACTCAATAAGAATCTTTTGGGTGTCATCATCTTCATCCTCACCATCTTTGTTGTGTTTCACCACCCGTCTGAGTATATCCCTGTTGGAGTTGGGAAGTCAATACTTACCTGACACTCATCAACCCAAAGGGCTGGTTGTTCTGTGTATTTGTCTTTCCCAGGAACAAATTCTTTGCACAATAAAGAATGACTTTGCATGTTATGTCACATCCCTGCAAAATCTATTCAAGACAAAATCCATTAACTTTTCTATAAAGGAGGAAAGGAAAAGAGAGAGATGGTCAACCAGTACCTGGGGAACAGTGTGGTAAAGATTCAAATTCTGGACCTCCTACAGCTCAGGCCATGTGTGCTCCAAATAGCTGTGTGGCTTCTGAGGTGGGCGTAGTGTGTTACCCTGGTAAACCTGGGGAAGTGGTCTGTGCCCCTGGTGTATCAATCCAATATTTCTTTTAAAATATTTTATTTATGTATTTTTAGAGAGGGGAAAGGAGAGAGAAAGAGAGGGAAACATCAATGTGTGGTTGCCTCTCACACGCCCCATATTGGGGACCTGGCCTGCAACCCAGGCATGTGCCCTAGACTGGGAATCAAAGCAGTAGCCCTTTGATTTGCAGGCCAGCACTCAATCCACTGAGCCACACTAGCCAGGGCTCAATCCAATATTTTTTTTAGGTGGAGAACAGTATTACTTTCTTGGCCATACAAATCTATTCAAAATTAAAAATCAATCCATTTTGCAAAAACAAGAACAAAACAGTGTTAAAGAGTGCATGAAAACCTAGGAAGAAAAAAATGTCCTCATTTATTGGTGACAATGGAGTAATATCCTTGACATAAAGGAGAAAATAAAGGAAAAGGAAGTAGTCTAGGTGAGAGTAATTTACTAGAGAGGGTGAGACATTGTATATAGAGACTTTTAAACTTTTTAAAGGGTGAGGAATTACAGCCTCTTTGAAAATCTTCTAAGCATGGTCTATCTCCCCACAAAAAATGTAAATCTATTACCACCTTTTCTCACCCATATTGATAATTTTTAAAAAGTTTTTAAGAAGATTTTATTTATTTTTAGACATAGGGTAAGGGAAGGAGAAAGAGAAGGACAGAAATATCACCATGTGGTTGCCTCTTGCATGCACCCCAATAGGGACCTGGCCTGCAACCCAGGCTTGTGCCTTAGACTGGGAATCGAACCAGCGACCCTTTGGTTAGCAGGCTGGCACTCAACCACTGAAGCACACCAGCCAGGGCCCATATAGATAATTTTAATAACATTTAATAGTTTCCACAGACTTCTGTGTTCAGAATGCATAATCTAAGATTACTGCAGGTGGTCTGCAGAGTGTTCCTCGGGCCCTGGCATAAATGAGGGAGTACCAGGATGGGTATGGACTGACGGATAGTGATCCTGCAGTAAGCCTGGGTTTTTCCTGAGTACCCTGGAGGCAAGGAGGTTAGGGTAAGGGTCCCAGCAGTCTCACTTTTTAAGCTAGGTGAGAGACAGCAGAAATGTCTGAGAGAGGTTTCTACCTAAACAAGATGAAAAAGAAGAGAGAGCAGGTTGACTGGGGAAGCCCAGCAATCACTTCTTTATGATTCTTAGAATATCCCACTATAATGGTGTAGAAGAGCCCTATCTGGTTTCCAGTATGAGAACTGATCTTTGACACTACTATGTATCTGGGAAGTGAGTCACTAGGTGGGGATTTTGGGAAGAGATGGGGGGAACCAAGAGATTTTCTCATGTCAGCACCTTGGTCACCTCTCCATCTATATTTTTAGAGTAAGCAACAGTCAGAAGCATGAATGTAGGGAATGAAAGTCTCTGGAAAGCGGCAGCAGGAAGACCAGCTTCTTCCCAATGTCTTGTCAAAGAAGGGATGACCTTCAGTTGTCAGCAAATGCTTTTCCATATTTAATGAATGATTACTTTAATAGGATAAAATATACACATTTATTAATGAATTTTGAAATTTGACCCAGAAGGGAAAAAGGGTAGATTATTTACACTAAATGTCCAAGATCTGACAACTAGATTTCTTGGGCTTCTTCCTGAAGATCTCCTTCACAGGTAATTTTGAAAACAACTGACTGTGTTTTGGAAAGTCTTCTTGCACCCTTTTTCCATAAAATTTTGAAACAAGCTAGAATGTTCTATAAATGAAGTTGTGTGGAGCCCAGAGAAAATATTTTGTGTGCAGTGCCAGAGAATATGAACACTGAGTTTTTTAACTTCCCTAGGTTGAAACATGTCTCTTAAAAATGAAAATTCATAATTTTCAGTTTTTTGAAGCATACTGACTTTTAAAAAGGAAATAGAGAGAAATGATTAGGAAGAAGATATACAGCCAGGGAGAAGAAGAGAGAAAGCAGAAGAGGCCAAAGTCAATGCCAAGGCTGTTGTGGTGGTGGAGTGGAGGGAAGGAAGGGATGGAGACCCTCCAGGGTAACCAGAGAACAAATCCCAACCGGAGGGAGGGGAGACCACTTCTGGGCCTTCAGATTAGAGAGGACCCGGCTGAGTGACAAGGCTGTGCAAGCTGTGCCCAGAGGGGGGACTTGGAGAGGTAGTTCTTTCCATGGAGTGTGTGGGGGGGGGGTGGGGGGGGGGCGGGGAGGGGGGGGGGCTTGTGAGCTGGTTGATGACGCGGGGCCTCACGTGACCGGGAGCTGCAGAGCATCGCATCAGTGCAGTTGTCACTCCCTTCTGGGTACCAGCTCCCCGCTGTCCTGCGCACTGCGGCCTGGCGTCGGGCCCGTAAAAGCGGAGCAGGTAAGGGCCCTGGCCCCGCGCGGAGGCCAGGGCGGCAGCTGGCCGGGGATCAGTGCAGCAGTCCCTGCTAGCTTTCTCCACTCCAGGCATTCTTAGGATAGTAAATAGTGACCCCTTGGGGTGCGGGTGCTGGGGCAGCAGGATCCCAGGGAGGGTAGCAGAGCGACTCAGCGATGGGAAATCATCCCCGAGCTCCTGTAGGAAAATGGTGAAGCGGGTCGAGGGAGAGAGGGCGGGAGATGCGTCACGGGGAGGGATGTGGCGGCTGCGGGTCAGTGCGTAGTATTTGGCGACAGCACCTGCTTCCTCTACCCTGGCCCTCTGCAGGTCTGTGGGTCTGTGGGTCTGTGCCAAGTATCCGGCAGCGCACTCGCGGCGAGAATCGAGAAGAGGGGAGACAACAAGGGTAGGCTCAGGTGGGTGCGGGAGACAGTGGTGCGGGGCTGTGCAGAGACCAGTCGGAGACCTACCTTCGCCCAGCCCCCAAGTCCTCCATCCACCGTCACCTGTCCTCCATTTTGGTGCCTGCAGAAGCCTGGGCTTAGATCTCAGGGAAAATGGTGGGTTTGCAGGGACGGAGGAGAGAGAACTGACGGGGAGGAGGCAGAGCTGGTACGGAAGGTCCACTACAGAGTGTAGAGAGCCTCTCAGTGGGGAAACATGAGATTTAAAAAATTAACCTTCGGTATCCAGGACTCTGAAAGATTAGTACTGTGGCCTCTGTCCTCGGTGCTGATCAGTCCACCAATAAAATACTCCCTTTTCGTCTCTTGTCTCCTAGGAGCAATGGCGTCCAAAGAGGGGCAAGCAGTAAAAAATCTCAACGTGGAAAATACCAACCGGGAAAATGACAAAAAGGATGAAAAGGAGCAAGGCTCTAATAAAGGAGAGCCCTTGGCTCTCCCTTTGGAAGCTGGTGAATATTGTGGGCCTAGAGGAAATCGCAGGCGGTTCCGTGTTAGGCAGCCCATCCTGCAGTATAGATGGGACGGGGGTCAGAGGCTTGGAGAGCCACAGGCAAGGATGAGACAAGAGAATAGGGAAAGAGTTGGGGATGATATGAGACAGCTGATGGAGAAGCTGAGGGGAAAGCAGTTAAGTCATAGTCTACGAGCAGTTAGCACTGACCCCCCTCACCATGACCATCACGATGAATTTTGCCTTATGCCCTGAATCCTCATGTTTTCCCTGAAGTTAATAGGGAGACACACCTGCTTCCTAGACTTACATGTTTGTGATGTACCTTGCTGTAAACCTTTTGTTGTTAGTTGTTTCTTGTGGGTCTCTACCAGCTTCTGGTTGAATGGTATGCTTTTGCCACAGCCTGTGAGATTTTGTTAGATGAAGAATTTTACCTATTGCATGGAAATATGCTTATTATATATTGTGAAGTTAATAAAGCAGTTTTAAAAATCAAACTATTTGTTTTTATTTCAAATTTTATACTTACTTATTTAATACACAAAGAGAAAAATGATTAAATTTAAATATACCAAATGATTAATACTGGGACCCATTTTTGTGAGATGGGTTGATGTGTTTTACATTATCTGTACTTTAAGAATAAATGGAAAATATTTTAATGATCTTATGAAAGCATTAGGGTCACTTAATAAATACTTGGTCATGAATTTTGCATATTTTAGCCAGATGAATGAACCCAGGACTTCCTTATATATTGGGGACTGTATTTGCCTCACATAACTTTGAAATAAGTTTAGGAATAGTGTTTGAGCTGTGTTTACCTATTTGACCCACCCACCTATTAGCATAGTCCCCAAAGATAGGTCTCATCAGTCCAGCATCCCTCTAACTCAGGACTGCAGCATCTGCAGTTCAAGCTGAAATTTCTTCCTGACAAGAAGAAGGTGCTTAACAAAGTACAATTAATGATTGAGTTAGGAGCTCTTGAGTTTTTGTCTCAGTCCAGTCTCTGAATAAAGTAACCTGGGATATCTAACTTCATTTCTCTATAAGAGATTACTTGCATTCCTAAATTCATGAAATATCCTGGTGTTTCCAAAGTATGCTAATCTGCCACTTGTGTGAGAATCACCAGAGAACTTTCTCAAAGATGTGGATGCCTGGTCCAACCCTAAATTTCAATTGGGCTCCAGAACTTTCATTTTTAGCAAGCTTCCCTGGTGATTTTGATGCACATTAATGTCTAAAGACCTACTAGTATGCATATACTTATTATCACCTTAATTCTT